ATCAGTTATGATGATGACGGCTTGTGGCTTGATTGTTTTGCCTGTCAATAGAAGTATACTAATCAGTACATGCTGATGCTTTCTGTGTTTCCAGACTAGGCAAACAGAAATCCGATAAACCCGAGTTCAAACTTGTTGTTTCATATTGTTGACGTGTCAAAGTTTTTTTTAGTTCTTTACAGAGTGGATTTTCTTTTATGTCTTTAATAAAATGTTTAAACGTTTGGTGAATGTGCAGTCCTGTGAAAAAAGTGCACCTGGTTATTTGGCGGCCTGTAGAACCACCTTTACCAGCAACAAAACAATCGTTTTCTGTACGACTTTATCAGTATCGGCAGAAAACGTGAACTTTGGTCCAGACTTGTTTGCAGTGTGGCTTCAGTTTATGGAAGTTTGCAGTCCTTCATTTATGCACAGCTCTTTAAGGTCTTCAGTCAGGTTGGAGATTTGCTGAGGATCATTGTCCTGTTTCATTTGCTCCAAGCTTTAGCTGCCATACTGAACGCCTCACGCTTGAGTTTATAATACTTTGGTTTACTCAGGAGTTCATGATTGAGTCAGTGACTGCAGGGGGCCCGGGTCCCGTGGCCAAACATCTCCACATCGGCCTCGCTTGTCCACGGCACGTTGTTCTAGAAGTCGATGCAGCTTTGCCAACTAAACCATGCTGCCGCGGTTTTCTCCTGGCAACACTTCCAAACACGCCGCACCTGTTCAGTCGTTTTCTAATTGGACTGTCATGAACTTTAACCTTTAACATGCTGACAGAGGCCTGCAGAGTCTGAGATGGAGCTCTTGGGTCTTTTACAGTTTCCCTGAGTATTGCCTGACCTTGGGGTGAATTTGCTGGGACGTCCACTCCTGGGAAAAACTGCAAAGTGTCTTGAATATTTTCCACCCGTGACTCTTTCTCACTGTCGAATTATGGATTTTTACAAAGGGCCTGATAACCCTTCCAACATTGAATGAGTAACATATATCCCCACAAAGCTTCCCAAGTTGAATACTTAAATTAAGACCTGCACATTAGAGAAACTTTACTGACTCAAACTCGACGGGAAATCTTTGAAATCTGTCTTTTCTGCTTCTTTAGTCGGGCTTTGCTTTTATTTTTGCACAGTGTTGTCAGTGTTAACGGTCTCTTTGTATCGTAGCAGCCAACACAAAATGATTAATAGGCTGTCATACAGTAAACAGAGTACTTCTCTGTTGATGCTACCATAGCAACTTCACAGCATTAACTCTAAATGTGGGATTATCCTCTCCACAATGGGGAGGAAGCAAAAACACCTGAACCTTCTGCATGACTTTTTCTGCGTGTTTTT